CCCACCTGTCGACTACAGGTTTGTCATTTTTATTTAGATAAATCAATTACTTATAAACAAACTTGAAAAATGTATTCTAAAAGGAAGTTCTGTAATATCTATACGATTTTTATTGGATCGTGTGTGAACTTAAAGGGATAGTTCACCAAAAAATGACAATTCTATCATTAATTACTCACCCTCGTGTCGTTCCATCCAAACACTTAAGACTTTCGTTCATCTTCAGAACACAAATGAAGATCAGGGGGTGTCTGTCCCTCCAGAGACAGCTACGCAACTACCACTTTGACGATTCAAAAAGTTCATAAAGAGATCGTAAAACTACTCCATGTGAATTGAATGGTTTAGTCCAAACTTCCTGAAGAGACTAGATCGCTTTATATGATGAACAGGTTGAATGTAGGCTTTTATATGAACTTGAAGCGTCAAAGTGGTAGTTGTGTTGCTGTTAATGGAGGGACAGAAATGTCTCAGATTTCATCAAAAAGATCTTCATTGGTGTTCCGAAGATGATCGAAAGTCTTACGGGTTTGGAACGTACATTTCACATATTTGATAATATTACTTAATATATTTGATAATGTTACTTAATACAGTTAATATAATATTACTTACTATTATTACATACTAGTATTACTTTCTAAAGACTGTTCATAAATTATGAGATTTAAAATCCATCCAGTTACAAAAATTTAAAAACTTATTTGTGAAATAAAAATAATTATGTTAAATATAAGTATAATATATACAATATAAATAATATATATTTTAATGTAATATATATATATATATATATATATATATATATATGTATATATATATATATATAAAATCTAAATAATATATATATATATATATGTCGTTAACAAAGATTTTTATTACTTTAACAGTTTTCTTTAAAATCGAATAATATTAAAAACAATATAAAAATAAAAACAATAAAAATATAAAAATAATATAAAATATAATATAATATAAAATAATACAATATAAAAATAAAACAATAAAAATTATAGAAAATAATTCTATACAATTTTCTGGGTTTTTTTCATTTAATATATATATATATACACTCACCGGCCACTTTATTAGGTACCCCATGCTAGTAACGGGTTGGACCCCCTTTTGCCTTCAGAACTGCCTCAATTCTTCGTGGCATAGATTCAACAAGGTGCTGGAAGCATTCCTCAGGGAGTTTGGTCCATATTGACATGATGGCATCACACAGTTGCCGCAGATTTGTCGGCTGCACATCCATGATGCGAATCTCCCGTTCCACCACATCCCAAAGATGCTCTATTGGGTTGAGATCTGGTGACTGTGGAGGCCATTTTAGTACAGTGAACTCATTGTCATGTTCAAGAAACCAATTTGAAATGATTAGAGCTTTGTGACATGGTGGAAGTAGCCATCAGAGGATGGGTACATGGTGGCCATAAAGGGATGGACATGGTCAGAAACAATGCTCAGGTAGGCCGTGGCATTTAAACGATGCCCAATTGGCACTAAGGGGCCTAAAGTGTGCCAGGAAAACATCCCCCACACCATTACACCACCACCACCAGCCTGCACAGTGGTAACAAGGCATGATGGTTCCATGTTCTCATTCTGTTTACGCCAAATTCTGACTCTAACATCTGAATGTCTCAACAGAAATCGAGACTCATCAGACCAGGCAACATTTTTCCAGTCTTCAACTGTTCAATTTTGGTGAGCTCTTGCAAATTGTAGCCTCTTTTTCCTATTTGTAGTGGAGATGAGTGGTACCCGGTGGAGTCTTCTGCTGTTGTAGCCCATCCGCCTCAAGGTTGTGCGTGTTGTGGCTTCACAAATGCTTTGCTGCATACCTCGGTTGTAACGAGTGGTTATTTCAGTCACTGTTGCCCTTCTATCAGCTCGAACCAGTCTGGCCATTCTCCTCTGACCTCTGGCATCAACAAGGCATTTCCGCCCACAGAACTGCCGCTCACTGGATGTTTTTTCTTTTTCGGACCATTCTCTGTAAACCCTAGAGATGGTTGTGCGTGAAAATCCCAGTAGATTAGCAGTTTCTGAAATACTCAGACCAGCCCTTCTGGCACCAACAATCATGCCACGTTCAAAGTCACTCAAATCACCTTTCTTCCCCATACTGATGCTCGGTTTGAACTGCAGGAGATTGTCTTGACCATGTCTACATGCCTAAATGCACTGAGTTGCCGCCATGTGATTGGCTGCTTAGAAATTAAGTGTTAACGAGCAGTTGGACAGGTGTACCTAATAAAGTGGCCGGTGAGTGTATATATATAAATAGCTGTCTGTAAGGCTGCATCCGAAATCGCATACTTCCCTACTATATAGCAGGCGAAAAATAGTATGTGACAAAAGAAGTATGTCTGAATTTATAGTAAACAACATAAAAGAGTAGGCAAAAAGTACTCGGATGACCTTCTTCTTCCGGCGGAATTCTGAAGTGTGCATATGATGGACACTTTACTATCCCATGAGGCCACGGGAGAGGATTTATGAATAGCAGTAAAGCAACACAACTGACTCTGGTAGGTCACATGAGAATGACAACATGGCCAATGTAGTACGTCCAGATTACATTCATACTACACACACTCACCTTTTTTAGCAGTCGTGAAGTAATTACTTATTCAAAATACTGGAAGTACCTACTCAAAAGATGCGATTTCGGACACAGCCTATTTGTTAGGAAAGGGGTCTTTCTGCAAGGCGATCGGTAGATTTGGTCGTCCTTGGCGTCAGAAAGTTTGAAAACCCCTGGTCCCCTATATTTGTAAATGCCACAGTGGGTATTTACAAATACTGCCACCCTAATGATCAACAATTTTGTGACATTTTGACTTTTGAATTTATATAGCATAAATTTATGTTGAATGAGGTGAAAAATCATGATTTAGCTTTCTTTCCCTCTTCCTCTCTGTTGACAGTGTGGATTACATGAATTCTGGGCCGCCGCCTCCACCACCTGCTGTTATCCCATCAGCACAAACTGCCTTTGCTATGCCACCCATGGGACCGGTCCCGCCTCCTGGACATCTAGGACCAATGGGAGCAGTCGCTGGTTATGGCCCACCCATACCACCTACCTCTATACCAATGGCTGCCCCTCCTCCACCTTTAGCCCCACCCCCTCCATCCAGTGCAGCCCAATCCATCACTCCCAAACGGCCCTCTGTGCCTAATGAGGCCCAACCCACCAACGATGCTCGCAGCGACCTGCTCGCAGCTATAAGAATGGGTATGAAGTGTCTTTAGGTTATGAATATAAGCATTTTACACTTGTTATACATAAACATCTTGTTTTTAGATTTCATAAGCTTTACCGTTATAAAACTCACCAAGGCTGCATTTATTTAATCAAAAATACAGTAAATATTGTCAAATATTATTAGAATTTAAAATAACAGTTTTCTATTTTAATGTTTTAAAATGTAATTTATTCCTTTGATGTTAAAGCTGAATTTTCAGCATCATTACTCCAGTCTTCAGTGTCACATGATCCTTCAGAAATCACTCTAATATGCTGATTTGCAGCTCAAGAAACATTTTTACTGCTTAATATTTTTGTGGTAATTTTTTCAGGATTATTTGATTAATAGAATTAGAAAGAACAGAATTTATTTTTAAAAGAATATTTTGTAATATTATAAATGTCTTTACTGTTACTTTTGATCCTTTTATTACATCCTCCTTACTAAGTGCAAGTATTCATTTCTTCTTTTTTTTTTTACATATCGTACTGACCCCAACTGACTGAACTTGTTAACGACAATGAATGTAAATAGTTTTTTATATAAATTGCAGCAGTTCATAATACATCATATCATGAACAAGTTGAACAGTGAAAGCATGAATCAAACGCCTGGCAATTTCTGTTTTCCACGCATCCTTTTCTTATTTTATCCCTGCGTGTGGGCAGAAACAAACCATATTGAATAGTGAAATTGCTCCCTGTAACATTAACTTCTCCGTCTCGCCTACACTGGACTACAGTATCTCACAGGAGATGGATCATATGAGCTCCACTGACTTCACTTCTTCGCTAATTTCCAGAAAGTTAAACTTCTGTAAAGTTGCCGGACATATTGCATCACAAACTCTTGTTTATCTCTCATTGAAAATGAATGAGTTGAGTTGCTGATGTTTGTGTGTGTTTGTTTGCACTGCAGGTATCCAGCTAAAAAAAGTTCAAGAGCAGCAGGAACAGCAGGCAAAACGAGAACCGGTGGGCAATGATGTCGCCACGATCTTGTCTCGCCGCATCGCTGTGGAATACAGTGACTCTGAGGACGAATCTGAGCTGGAGGACAATGATTGGTCTGACTAAAACAACACTAATGCACAAAATTCACAAACACTTACTCGGTAATTTACCTGCGAATAATAACATTGCATTTCCCATACACAAAATGATCTTGTACTGTATGCATTTTAATAAAGGCGTGATAGGCCGCCTGTATTATGGAATAATAAGATAGTCAGTCTTTTCCCTGAACTACCACATATGATGCTTTTTTCCATTTTTTTCTAATGCTTTTTAATGCAACACTTGTTAATACATGATATGGATATACTGTATGTAGTGAATAGTAACTGGAACTAAAGATTAAAAAAAGCATGTTGAGGTCATCAAAAACAGACTTTTCTGCATGAAAGTTTCTATGTATGTTGAGAAACATTGAGGTCAGTAATTATATTTGTGTGAACTGGCCTGAGGGTGTTCGATTAAACTACCTGAAATGTGTTTTCTTGGTAATGTCTGGTGTCTTCGTGCATGTGTGCGGCGGTCGGCAGTTTCGCGACAATAAAAATCTGACGAATCACGTTAAATCGCTCACCTCAGTGCCTTTGTCATGGAAACAGGACAGTTTTGATTCCGAGCCTCATGTCTCTATGGAAACAGTACAGCTGAGACTGGGATCGCCATGGCAACAGTGGATTTGAGGCACCCGGCCAATTGATGCGCAAGTGTGAATAAACCCAGGCGAGGATATTTTTAATGCACAGCACATTCTTTTAATACAAAATTAACAAGATCTCTCAGTTCATTAAACTAACCAAAGCAATAAAAGTATACAACCAACACCTTGGAAAAATATACAACACATTAACACAATGTTTTACAATGTTAATTAGTGCATGTTGATTATAATTCTTATAATATTGTTTTATTTGCAGATAAGTAATTTGTTGTGCCTTTTCGCATCAAAAAAATAAAGTGCATTTCACAGTTAAAACTACGCATACGTGTACACAAGATGCTGAAACCGAAGCACCCGAATGCTCCTCGGATTGTTCCAAGATTTCGATTCTAGTATCTAAATAAAGTACAGAACGAGTCCGAGTCCTACTGTAAATGTAGAAAGTTTCCTCACAAGACACCAAGCCAGAGGTGATTTCCTCTTCTATGCTCTTCAAATAAACCAGAACAGGAGACAAGACTCCCATCCGAGCCCTTTTTCACCCTTCGCTTTTCAAGCTTTTACATTGGATTACAAAGCACAATCATCTACAGTTGGATACAAGACTATTTAAATCATGGATTCAATAGGCAAACGTCCATCTGCATGTGGAAAACCCATCAGAGACCAGGCACAAAGCATGATAACATCATTTTACAAAGCTCTTCAAAAACAGACGGAGATATGATGTTTTAGTCGAAGAACTAACCCTCAAAAGTCACCGCGATAATCTCCCGGTCATGTGCATCGGGCATTAACCCTCTCAATCCGCTGTAGACAAGCATGCCCAGGCGACAGGAGACACTGGACTGCGGCCCAAGGTTAACCTTCGCACAATAGAGTGATGTATGTATTTTGGTGGGCCCGGAAACAAGTTAGCATATTAGCGCCTCCGCTTACATCATCCTGAAATCAATGGGTTTTTGGTTAAATGCCTGAAATGAGGTCTGAAATGAGGTTAAAAATTGTGATTTTTAAGCTTTTACTTGTTTTGAAAAAGGCTAACGAGTGGCTAAATGGGACTACAGAGTTTTTCGGGGGCAATAAACGTCATCATGCCGAACAGGGAATCTCATCTACTCACTAATCGCTTCCACAGCCTCGCTGTTTTTATAATCGTGCTCTTGCGAACTATTCTAACTCAAACGGAAATAAAGACTGAACGAGTTCACGCCATGCCATAATTAACGTAATTACGAGATTCCAACTTGTATGCTGGGAATTTTCTAAGAGCCCCTATTGTACCACGAGTCTGACTGCTGCAGGTTAATTTATGTGTTGATATAGCCTTACCATATGTAACGGAGGCCAGCTAGTAAGAGCTGTGCGGGTAAACCTCACTCCCTTGATCTCAAGAGGCGCACTGAGTGTAACAGAGTTCAGTTAGTAAGGCCCTGTCCTAAATGGCACCCTAAACACTCGCGGTCTTCCTACTAGTCTGCACTTTCAAGACAGCACTTTCACTGTCGGGAAGACAAATGGGACACCCTACGGTCTCATGGACTTAGCAGACATGCGCACACGGCAGCCATTGTGCATATGAAGTGGGCCATTTGGGACAGGGCCTAAGAGCTGTGCGGGTAAACGTCACTCCCATGGTCTCAAGAGGTGCTAGTTAGTGCGCCGGCCTAGATGCTCGTTCAAATACCCCTCGGGTGGGTCGAGTAGATCTGGTTACACATAGAGACGCATAATTCCCAGTCCGAGGACGTGAACACCTCCCAGATTGTCATCTCGAAATTATTGTTACTACGACATGGCGTGAACGCAGTATTAGCGAGGGTGGCGCTGATGTCCGTTTACACGTCTAGCATTTAGCTATTTTTTTCTGGCAATTGAATTCAGGTTTCAAAAGTCATAAAAGTTTTGTTCATTACTAAAGACTATCATTATGAACAAAATGTGTAAGAATCATAAACCTTTGTTGGATTTTCTGCAACATTTTCTGCAATAATCCAAAAGCCAATGGAAAAATCCTATTGGGTTTTTGTCGAGGAAAACCAAGTTGATGCTAACTTCCGGGTTGGCCTACAAATATACGCATCACTCCAGCCCTCCATGACACCAGGTGAGAAATGCCATCATGCCTTCTTAAAGTCACATGCCTTATTTACAGGATCAAAACGATCGGTAGAATGCCATAGCAATGATAAGAACGTCTTTGTCGATACATTCAGAAGAGACCGTAAAGCGCACCAGATTACAAAAAAATGGGGGGGTGGGGGGGTTGGGGGACCTCCAACAGACCGGTCATCATCTCCATGCTAAGCCCTATAAAACTCGCATAACTGCTTGCTACCGCTCATGTGCTGTTTCACTGGAATCGTATAGAGGTCACTCAGGCAAAAAAGGTCACGAGGGTGTGTCCGACCCGCAGGCACGATGTAAAGATGGCGCGATGGGAAGACTGGTAGCCACTCTAACCCATGCATGCAGGTCTATGGGGAATATACATTATTACCCCCAACTATATCATTGTCCCTGGAGAGACAAACATATATGCATGCGTTCAAACGTACACGCACACACACGTCCATGCACCGACAGTCACGCATTTACTTTCCTCATACATAAACATCTTTAAGTTTCGCAAAAGCAAATGCATACTGCAGAGTAGGTCACGTTGAGTGTACAGAGAGATTTCATAGTTAGATATCGTAAAATGATCAGAGGCAGAGCACAGTCACTTTCTGGATGAGAGAACACGAGGCAGTGAGATTATGGACATGTTTGCAGGGATTGAGACATCTGTCCAGCTCATGTTTTTTTTAATCCCAAATTTACTAATATAATTCAGGGCATGTTGAAATAAGTGCAGTTGTCAGTTGTTCTTAGAATCCACTTGTATTTTCATGGTGAGTTATTCATGGTTGTTTTTTTTTTTTCGGCTAGCTGAGGTGTTGGTTTTGCTTGGGCATGGCTGTTATTGCTGCCAGAATATTGCTATAATTTGATGAAACTCTCAGTCCGTAGTTATTGCTCGCTGATGGATTCTGCCACTGCACTGAAATGGATAGTGGCTGGTTGGCATTTGGAGGGCATAAGGTAAAAACAAGGGTGAACTTCAGCTCATAATAGCATGACTCCAGCCTCAGTTGTAATGAAAGTATGATAGATTTTATAATATTCTCCCTCATCTGACATTTGCCAGCTCTGAGAGGCCAGCTGTTCTCTTCGTCATAATCTTGTCATGTGGACTGGTTGAGGAGATTCACCAGTTTACTAAAAATCATATTGACTGTAAATCTGCTGATGGCTCATTTTAAAGTGGAAGTCTATGAAGGCTGGCATATCATTTAACAGAATTTATGAATTTCATGAAAACTTCTCAATGTCATGTTTTACCCAAAAAGAATGATTTCAATTATGAATAAAATAATAAAAAACTACACACACGTAGGCATATATAGCTATATATATATATATATATATATATATATATATATATATATATATATATATATATAGCCTATATATATATTTTTTTTTTGATGAAAGATGACCCAGACAAGCATTCTGAGATTCACTCATGTTGTTTCAACAACACACCCCTCTAATAAATTGATCACAATGTTGTGGCCAAATCATCCTCTTTTTTACAAATGCAATACATGTCAATTTTAAGCAAAATGCTATGAGCAACCATTGTGTGATAACTATCCCATATCCAGTAGTAATTACCAGTTGAACGTATATTAAAGGAGCAGTGCTCTATTAAAATTAAAAGCAAATCAATAGAAAATACATTCGGTTCAATCCGCATCATGTCGCCGCATATAAACAAACCTCTTACTCTCACAGACAAGCACGTTTTGTAATCAACAGTTGTTTGAAGTGAGCCTCTATTCACAGGGGGATGAATAAACATCATACACTTTCTGTCTTTCTCCCAGGTCACGCTCGCTTTCATCCTGCATTTATGGAAGAGGATGCGGAGATAGTCCGACTTCCTATCAAAACTAAAAAAAAGGCATCGACGGGTACGTTTAGAGTGGTTCTCATTCTGAGATTGTAGTTAGCTCTTCATGGTTTTCTGCTTTGGAGGACATTTTACATTCGGCCGAGATTTAAATCAAACAGAAGAGAGAGCGCGCCTCTCTCTCTCTCTCTCTCTCTCTCTCTCTCTCTCTCTCTCTCTCTCTCTCTCTCTCTCTCTCTCTCTCTCTCTCTCTCTCTCTCTAGTTCTCCAGGTTGGTTTCTTTGGAGGACGCAAGGCGCGGATCACCGAGCGCCTCGTCTATTTTTAGCACACCGCGGTTACTTAACGTTCAGCGCACGTTCTTGAATGCAGCAAGAGATGAATGAGCTTTGGGATCCAGTCTAGAGGACCGCCTTGCTTGCGCTGCCCCTCCTCCTCCCTCAAAGCCCGTGCAACAGGTGGCTGTCACTGTGGCCAAGCCAAAACAAGCACAAAAAATGCAAAGGCATATATGTACAAGATATTTACATCTGCCTGCCACACAGCATCCGTTTCCACCCCTTTTTTCCTGGACAGGGTGTGGCAGCTGGTTGGATCAGGATCAGGCAAAGATTGTGTGGCAGTGGTTGTCACAATAACAATAGGGGAAGACATAAACAGGTGACGAGCACACGCCCCTTCTTGTAGGGGAACCTATAGGCCTGTGCAGTTCCCTAGGCACATCAGACGTCGCTGGGAGTCCGTGCCCGCTGTGCCACGCTGGCAGGGATACATCCACAACACACCAGCCATAGAGCTTTCTGGATCTCTTGATTTCGGAAGGCGTAAATGACGGGGTTGATGACCGAGTTGTAGGTGGCGGGCACCAGGGTGGCGTATGTGTAGAGTGGCGGGTACGTGTAATCGGCTATGAGCGAGTAGACAGTAAAGGGCATCCAACAAGCGGCGAATGTGCCCAGAATGATCGCCAAGGTGGATACGCCTTTCCGCGTTGTGACATAGTGAGGGCTCGCTGCTAAAAAGTGGTGCTGGAGGGAGATTTGGTGCGCATGTCGCATGACAATTTTACAGATCTGCATGTAAAGCTGTAGCATGAGGCCGAACAGCAGAAGGAAGGACACGGATAGAACGGCCACGTTGTTTTTTGTAAGGGGCCACACCACACTGCAGCTCGCCTCCTGGCCCAGGCAGTTCACACCAATGACAGGCAGCAAACCTAGACACAACGACACTCCCCATAGAAGCACAAGCATGGTGTATGTGAAGGCAGCCGTTCGCTCAGAGTTATAGGTGAGGGCGTAGTACAATGACAGGTAGCGGTCAATAGTGATAGCCAGCAGGCTGAACACCGATGCGGAGAACGACGCCACCACCAAACCCACAGTCAGAAGCTGTGCCGAGTCAGAGCGAAGCAGGTAAGCGAAGGTAAAGTGCAGGACTAACCCCAAACCGGCAAATAGGTCAGCAAGAGCTAGGCTGCCGATCAGCAAAAACATGGGGGCGCGTAGAGCCGGGTTCTGCCAGATGACCAAAACCACCAGGGCGTTCTCGCAGGCTATGAGGGTGCCGGATGAACACAGCACGATGTCCCACGGGTTTACCAACAGCTCAGCGGGCGGCCTCGCCGGCAGGACGACCGCGGGTGGGTACGTTCCGATGGTGATGTTCTCTAAGCTCCCCGCACCGCTGCCGCCCCACGTGGGTTCTTGAGCCAGCCAGCTGGGAGAAACTGACAACTCTTCACTCATTCTGCCTCCCGTCTAAAATGACACACACAAACACAGAAAAACATAATGAGGAGTATAGCTAGTCTCTATTAGAAATAAAGGTTCTTTGTTGGCATCCTTTCCACGGCACAAAACATTCATACAGTGGAAAAGGGTTCTTCAGATTATTCAAATGTTCTTTACACTAAGAAAACATTGTTCTTTTAAGAACTGTTTCCTGAAATGTTCTTTGTGGAACTCAAAATGGTTCTTCTATGGCATTACTGTAAAAAACAGATTTTTGGTACAGCATCTGCCAGCATTTATTCACCATCATGTTGTTCCAAGCCTGTATGGCTTTCTTTTATATGCTTGGGAATATTTTGAAGAATGCTGTTAACAAAACAGTTTGGTTCCCATTGATTTCCATTGCATCTTTTTTTCTTCTTCGTCTATATAATGGAGGTCAATGGGAACCGAAACTGCATGGTTACCAACATTCTTTAAAATATATATATTTTTTGTTCCACAGAAGAAAGTCATACATGTTTGGAACAACATGAGGGTACATGCTGACAGAATTTTCATTATCCTTTTAAATATTAAAAAAATATTTACAAAAGAACTACCAGCTGTGGTTGTCAGAACTTCACTGTAAAAAACAACAAAAAATACAAAAAATACAGTGACAATTTTACAAGCATTATGGAATGACATTTGGTAAATATATTTAGCATTTTCTCACGACAAGTTATTAAATTATTTCATTTTAAAACATCAACATAACTGAGCTATTTAAATATTTATATTATTATAAATATAATATTTTATGAATAAATGCATCGTAAAACACTCTGAAAACAAAACAAAACTCATTTTTAAATTAAATATAAAAATGTCTGGTTTGTGAATTCTGGGAATGCCTCTTTTCCTGTGAATTAAAAATATAGAAAAATATATTTTTCCATATAATTATACATATTGCCATTTTATCAGTAAGTAAATTATAAAGTGATTCATACATTTTACATTTACTTTTTCAGTATTTTACTGCAAAATTACATGTATTTAAAAAAAATGTTTTACTTTCTGTGCTAGATATTAAGCAACTGATGGGTGTTTACTGCATTTGTACATTATATTCCCATTAAAATGACATTTTTACAGTCAAGAAAACAGAGATTATAACCATCCATTATAACAGAAACATTGGCCAATAATAATTATCACAAAAGCCATTGTTCACTTTAATTATGCATTACTTCTCTGTTAGTGACAGTGTCTTTGTTCTTTTGTTCAGAACAAGGAATCAAATTAAGATAAATTAAAGATTTTGCCTTAGTGGTTAAATGGCTATAGGAACGGGCTATTATTGAGATACTTTTGAATCATATAGTACAATGGTGGGAATGGGAAATCAAAAATGAAGGGAGGGCCCTATTGAGTGCTGATATTAAATAAAGGCGGGTTCCAATTCTTATAAAAGCGCCCCTGCATCAGCATCCTTTTATCTATCACATTCACATGGACTCTCAAAGAACATCTAAACTCCAGCTGAATGCAACCATTGCTTCCCCTGAGTCCTTTTAGCTTTATAATAACGCTTCAGCTCTTACTCAGTAAAAAATCATTTAGGCTATGTGCTGTAAAATGCAAAGCAGAATGATTTCAAATACACCCGGTCTCCATTCACTCCCCATCTGGAGGCTTCCCTACCTTGTCTTTTAGAGGAGAGGCGCCTGTTTAGATGCTTTTGCGTCCTTGTCTTTCCATTGTATTAAATGGCAGCGCTGTTTGCAGGTGCAGCGCCGCGCGGACGGATGGAGGGATCGGGATGCTGTGATCAGATGCCGGACCGGGGAAGCTTCACTGCCAGCAGGAATAGCGGCTCTTCGGCGTCTGCACGAGCATCACCACCGACTGCGGCTGTGCGAGGCGCTGGGACTGGGAGGGGTGAGCTTTCCTTCTCAGACCAGAAGGTCCCGTCACCTGTGTAATCTGCTGCTTGGAAACTAAAGGATGCCACTGTGTGATGTAAAAAGCATTTTCGTGAACACATATAGCCTACATTAACGTAATTTTATTAAAAAAAAAATATTTTTTATAAATTCGCTATCACTAGAACGCCTTTTTGGCCAGTAGGCTACTCAGCAGTTTGTTTGCTAAAACACTGTGTAAAAAAAAAAAAAAAGCCTATATATATATATATATTTTTTTTTTTCATGATTTGTAATCACAACATTTTTTCTTTTGTCAAATCAAGATAATTTATGTGGTTGATAACACAATCTTTTGAGTTTCTTTTGATTACACCAATCTTTTATTAACTCAATTTTTTTATTTCAACAAACTTTTAAAGTTAAACCACCAATATTTTTTACAGCGAGTATTTTGCATTTGTTCTCCTTCTTATATAGAGATGGACATATTTGATTTAAAAATACTTTATTTGTACTAAATATTATGTTTTATATTTTATTAAAAAAGTGCCCTGTTTTATAGCTACATCAACCATCATAACATTGTCCAAATAAAGTATTCCATTATAATAATAAAAAACCCTCAAAAAGAAAACAAGATATGAACTCGTAAAGGTGTCTTCTCTTTTTAATGACTCTGGCCTGGTTTCACAGACAGGGTTTAGATTAAGCCAGGATTAGACCTTAGTTCAATTAGGACATTTAAGTATAGCTTTTATAAACGTGCCTTAGAAAAAAACATTACTGGTGTGCATCTTGAGACCAAACAATGGCACTGACATATTTTAAGATATGTCAGTGCAAGTTGCTTTCAGTTAAAACATCTCAAACATGCATTTTAGTCTGGGACTAAGATTAAGCCTTGTCTGTGAAACAGGGGGTTTATCTTATATTTTGTTAGGTTTTTCAGTATAGGGAATGCACATGTTAATTATTGAAAATTGTATATATATTACCATTACATTCTCTTTCTTTAAAACACATGTCATGACTTTGAGCAAAAGACTACTAGCTAAATAAAATGTAAAACTCAACCATGTTACTTTTTTGAACGCCGACACATGCAAACACATGAATTACAATGTTTGAATTTAGCTTGCCATGGCAAAATGCAATATATTGGCATTGTTTGTCTAATAGAATGTTTCCAACCTTAATTCGCTTTAAAAAAATAATCTTTTCAAAATGGTAAAGGCACCTATTTCGAACGACCCAGAAGGTATCACAACGTGTCTCTGTAGGATGAGACCCATTTATCTAGCATCTGACATTCAGACTGCATCTTTCTGGAAAGATGCACATTGTGTTGCTCCCCTGTGAGAGCTATTCTCGGCGCGTGCTATTAACAGCATGCTCATCTGTGTCACCCACTTCCCCCACTATCTTCCCTCTCTCCTCCATTCTCTAACCCCGTGCAGCCTTCGTCCCCCCATGCCTCTTTTCAGTCTGTGCTATTTCAGACAGGCTCACACCTCCTCATAGACTAAGCTACACAGTCAGTGACAATGCCTGATAAAATCCTTCACAGACCGAATTAGGCTTGGTATGGCCTCAAAGGAATTGCTGTTAAGCGCTAATAAATATATGTAATGCTTTATACAAATTTGAAAGAATCAAGCATCAACCTCATTTTAAGCATAGCAAATGGACCGAATAATTGCAAAACAACACACAACCTTTAAAGCTAGAATGAGAGCAGAAGAGCGGTTGGATAAAAGGAATGATGCTGTGCAGTTCTCCATCTTGCAGTAATCCGGACCGGCCACTGAGGGGCAATAGTGACCGAGAATGAGTCATCAGCGCTGGGCAAGCCTTGGTTGTATGTACCAGGGGTCCAATCAAATCGCAGCAGGCTGGTAATAGCTGGTATTTACATGCTTACATGCATACATCCTATCTTGGTGTATACACTTTTATTTCTTTTTCTTTAAAACAGAAAATGATAATTTCACAACAGGCCGTCTCAAGCAAACCCTCACATTAACCTTCCAACATCTACAAAACTGTATCAAAAGTGCACCATAGTGTTATACATCTTTTCTGGTTCTATTCTCATTTTTTTGGCTATATCAGTAATATTATTATAATTCTCATAATATTTATACAAATATCACTCTGTACAAGGTAGAAATACATAACCCGAAATGCCCCGTATCCAGAGCTTTTAGACCCTCCCCGTCATTATAATAACACACCCGCTTTCCCCATGCACAAGTCTTCAGCCTCCTCACAGCCACAGGAATCAAAAGGTCGCAGCATGAAAGTCGAACGCAAATCCCCGTCATATCATACAGTCGGTTACATTAAACACATTCTCTCCACAGTAAAGGACTGAACACGAGTGATGAAACGCTCCCACAACGAAAATACAACTGACAAACAACGTTCAAAGGGCCTTGCGACTGCATGGCGTCCAGCGTTACGGCTGCGCGGAGACTGGCGAGGGAGGGCTTGGACGGGAGGGGTGGGGTGTGTGTGTGTGTGTGTGTGTGTGTGTGATGCAGCAGGGTTCTGCATACAGGCACGCCTGCTGCACAGGTGTCCGTAAGGGGACGCCGCTCTGGCCTCTCTGGGCTCTCTCAGTCTCTGGACTGGTAAAACAGGATGTACCCGGACTCAGAGTTCTTGGAAATTTCAGAGGTTAATCCGTAGAATTCTTCAATTGCCTGGGCATCGATTTTCTAAAGGGAGAAACAAAACATTTTTTTTAAACAAATGCAGGAAGATAATTTTACAATCATCAAGACTGAGCACATGGACATGGTGGAAGCCATTTGAATGGGAATTGAGGCCTAGGAGCAGTGATGGCCTTGACTGGTATATTTTGATATGTGGACTGCATCAATACTTTTTGTATTTTCTGACAGACAAATTACATATCCTAACTGTTTACAACTGAGTAAAATGCTTTGTTAGAACCAAAACACTGGCTTTTGTGAAGGATGATTGATTATATGTGTATAGATCGTTTGTTGGGGACTTATAATCCATATATACATGGATAATATTGTTTGTTGTATGTCTATGAATATTGATGTTGTATATAGATTGATTTAGATTTATTGTTGAACCTTTGTAAATCTGCTGAAACATGCTTGTTGTATATTTATTAGTGTCTGATGGTTTTTCATATTTGCAATTGATGTCAATGTTGTTGTTAATTTTTGTATAGTAACCACACCTTGATCCACATGTTGAGCCACCTCAAATAAAAGCAACTAATGGAACTTTGCGCATTCTAATCGATACCCCACATTGATTATGCTATTAAACCAATTCTCATGAAACTTTATTACACATAGCTTTGGACATTTCAATTACAATTGTATAAAACAAATGAAAAGATTTTTACATATTTCATAAGCTATACATTGCTCTCTAGGAGTGAAATATTTAATAATCTTTAAAAAAAAAATTAGACCTAAATATAACTATATATACACATTCACTCACTATAAAACTCTGATTTGATTTACTTAACATTATTATTACTGATGATTATTTATGTATTAATTATTTGTAAATATATAAGATAACAAATAAACATATCACTGTTTATATATATATATATATATATATATATATATTAGGGCTGCACGATTTGGGGAAAATGTCATATTGCGATTAATGAGGTCAATATTGCGATTGCGATATGCGATTGCGATATAATAAACAAATGGTTTCATGAGTCAACTTGCTTGGTTCTAAAGTAAAATGCACACACAGATTAGTGATCATTCTGTGTATTAATGTGTATTTCTCAACTCAAACTAGCAACAACTAAATGATTGATAACACCTATAATGATCAATAAGCCATTGATGTAAAAATGACGACACACCCCACATTTTAAACGTTAATTATAGCCATCCAACATTACAGTGATTCCATCAATATAATTGAAAGCTATCAACTTTTAAAATATTTATTAGGCTTAAAAAAAATAACAGCTTTTAAATTAAGTGAACTTCAAACAATCCTCACATAAACCCATAATAAATGCCATATTTACCTGTGCCCTTCCTGTCTTAACAAGTAGGATTGAGGATTTATATACAGATTTATTTACATAAATTGAATAAAGTTATCAAACAGTCTGCGCTGCATGAATTATAAATTATATATAGACTAATCCTTATTAAAGCTACAAAACTTCTTTAGTCAAGAGCAGTGAGTAATTTTCTGTTCCCTTTGTTCTTTGATCAACTTTACTGACAGAACGCTTTATTTGCTGCTGGCCCTTTAAGAGCAGCCGTTGCTGAGACGCGGATCTCACAAGCGCCTCATTCTCTCACAAGCACAACTCTTTTCGTCCATCATAAGACTTTCTCATATGTTATGAAGATAATCGACAAAACGACATTTTGGCATAATTGTGTGTGTTATTGTTCGTTCAAGCTCGAAAGAGAACTGTATTCTGGCACGCGGTCTGTGCATGCGCATTATACTGGCGCGCGTTATACTGTGAGTCACATTCAGGACATTCACAGGCAGTGCGCTCTCTTTTGACTTCTTGTCGTGCAAAATGGTTTTTAGGCATTTGCACAAATAAGAGCGGGATCATGTAACACTAGTCAAAGGATGACAAAAAAAAGAAGAGATGCGGTGTTAATAGCCCTAATTTGTTTATTTCATATAAAATCGCGGCATTTTGCGTTATATAATCGCATAGGTTTGACATCGCGATTACGATTGCGATACGATTAATCGTGCAGCACTAATATATATTAGTGCTGTCATATAAGTTTGTTTATATAATATATGTGTGTGTTTATACATATACACAGTGTGTATATGTATATATATATATATATATTAGTGCTGGGCAACGGTTAAAAAATTTAATCGCGATTAATCGCATGATTTTCTTGCGATTAATCGCATTGTTACGCGCAATATTGAATAATGAATTCTAAAGTAGTGTATTGCGCACTTTTGATTTAAATGTACTGCTACAAAAGTGCAATAACATGTGGTTTGCAAAAACTTTAAACAAATAAGGTGCTTTTATACCAGCAGTATTCCCTTTACACAGTATCAATACAATATTTCTTGTAAATCATAATAATGTAAGATTACATTAAACAGAGGTAAAGCCCAATTTATACTTCTGCGTCGAACTCACGCCGTAGCTGTGTAGCGCGCGTACCCTGACGTGCATCTCTCCAAAAATGTAACGTCAATTCTACGCGTACCGCAAGCGCTGTGATTGCTAGAACCGATCCCCGGGTTTCACACTCTCCCTCTGCATGTGTAATTGCGCGTCAACGCGGACAACGACGCAGATATATAAATGAAAACCAACGCGTAGTCTATAGCGTAGAGGCTCCGGCTTAGGTCCGACGCAGAAGTATAAATCAGCCTAGAGTGAGCTAGGTGAAGTGGTCGAGCACAGGTGCAGCGACAAGCGGGTGCGTTCCTGTGAAACTGTTGCGGTCATGCTCGCCTCACGCACGCGCCCGCGCGTTGCCGAAGTTGAATTGTCTAACTTTTTGTACACGACGCGCAGCACAAATTATTGGAAGAGAGACTGATCCTTGGCTCGCTGTTTGTGAGTTTCCAGAATCTAAATAGTTATTCACATGGCAGAGCATCCCCGCTAAACTAAACGCAGGCCTATCAGGTAAAGTTATGTATAATTTTAATTTAAGTTAAAAAGGCTACAGCTGCGTAGCGCACAGAAAACGTTGCATGGTTACTATCCATGGAGCGCCTGTCATTCACTCGCGGAGCTCTGTCTCCCTTTCTGTTCACCTGAGAGAACCTGCCAAAGCCTCTCCACTGCTTGTTTGGGTGGGTTATTTGCTGGCTGACCAACATCCCACCCCTCCTGTGATCATGGTTTGACTGTAGGCCTATGTGTATTCAGAGCCAGTGAGCAACGGACTTTCAAAATAATAATAATAAAAAAAACTGCGTTTACGCGCGATAAAAAAATTGTCGGCATTAATTAATAAATGCGTTAACGCGATAATAACGCGTTAACTTGCCCAGCACTAATATATATACATACATACAGTGTGTGTATATATATATATATATATATATATATATATATATATATGTATGTATACACACAGACACAAATATATGATAATAATATATATACACACATATATTATATAAACAATTTTTTTTATTTTAGAATTGATTAATCGCGATTAATCGATCGGACAGCACTAGGTTATGTGTTTGTCTGTGTATATATTATACACACATATATATATGTATAAATATGTGTGTGTATATACATATATAATAATATATATACACACCCATATATTATATAAACAAAAACTTTTATGCTAGATGCGATTAATCGATTTGTCAGCACTAATATCTAAAAGGCATTTTCGTGAACACATAGCCTACATTAACGTAATTCTAACGTAATATACTGTATATATATATACATATATATATATATATATATATATACATACATACACACACACTATAAAATATCTATTTTATGGTTTATTAAAATAGATATGGTTTATTATTTATTTATTAAAGTTTATTTATTTAAGATTATAATTAAACATGTATCATATATATATATATAGTATATATATATATATATATACACACTCACCTAAAGGATTATTAGGAACACCATACTAATACTGTGTTTGACCCCCTTTCGCCTTCAGAACTGCCTTAATTCTACGTGGCATTGATTCAACAAGGTGCTGAAAGCATTCTATAGAAATGTTGGCCCATATTGATAGGATAGCATCTTGCAGTTGATGGAGATTTGTGGGATGCACATCCAGGGCACAAAGCTCCCGTTCCACCACATCCCAAAGATGCTCTATTGGGTTGAGATCTGGTGACTGTGGGGGCCATTTTAGTACAGTGAACTCATGGTCATGTTCAAGAAACCAATTTGAAATGATTCGAGCTTTGTGACATGGTACATTATCCTGCTGGAAGTAGCCATCAGAGGATGGGTACATGGTGGCCATAAAGGGATGGACATGGTCAGAAACAAT